GGTTGCTTACATATCAATTTTTATAACTAGGGCTTTCACTTTTCCTTACCTAGTCAAAGCGAGTTTTAAAGGACTTATTATTTAGCTTATTTTGCTCAAAAATGCAGCACTGAATACGTGTAAATTTATGGTCTTTATTGTAATCTGGCTTTTTTACTTTAATGTCTTGTTTGGTACTTATCAGGTGCTCTTTTAGTATGACTTAAAATATTTTGAAAAGGAATTAGCCTTGATGTTATCGAAGACGCCATTGGAACGTTTGCCAGAAGTGCGAGAGAAATTGAGGCATGAGATGGACTTAGTATATGCTCGTCAGATTGTGAATGAAATTGCTACAGGGTTTAATTCTGAAGAGGGACGGCGTGAGGTAATTGATCGCATTAATGGTGTTCTACATGGTCTATGATAATTTTTGTGCTCCAACACTGATCTGAATTATTCGTACATAATCAGTGAAAATTGTATAATTTTCTCCTCTTTTTTTCTCATTTTTTGGAACTAGAACTCGTTGTTGCTTAAAAATTTTAGTATCTTTGGTATAAAAATGTTTCCTAAGATTTTTATGATCTTGTTTAAATTTGCAATATAATTGTTGTCCTGACCTACTTCTTTTGTTAGAAGCTTATTTAACTTCGGTAAGAAAAGTTTTTTTTTCACTTACTTCTAGTGTTGATGGTTACACGACACGAGTGAACCACTAAATTTTTAGCTTCCTAAATTGCCTTTAGTTAGCATTTTTTCCTCCCTTTTTTTCTTTTGGTTATCTGTAATCGAATCTTTTTTTATTGATTTCATTAGATTTCCTGAAATAAAGTGTAGCTCTGCGGTTGGAAAAGTACAGGCACTGTTCATGCGTCTTAGCTATTTTCGGACTATCGGGAATTGGCGGGTTTTAAGCCAGTGAATATTTTGAGAAAAATCTTATTACAACTTAATTTTCACGAGGTAGAGTAGTAGCAATGAACGTAGTTGGGACGTCAAGCAAACTTCACTTAATGCTTGTGTACAGTGCACTCCAGCAGATTATTCATGTAATGTCTTACTAAATATTTGGTGTATAGGTTTTAAAAACTTGAGTTGTGGAATGCATATTATGTTGAGTAATGTATGTTGGGACTCCTTTTGATTTGTACAATAATACGTTGCAACTGTTTCACTAGAGATTTTTGTATTCCTGATTCAGTTTTCATCGTTTTCACAAACTTCATAGTTTCTCACTCATAGGCTATTGTTGCTCATAACTGTGTGCTGTTGGCAGTGTTATCCCTACGGAATTACAGCTTGCTTATGCCTTGCTAATTCTTTCAGGGGTAATTTGCCTTTAACTTTATTTTGATGTTCTGTATTTCTGCGCAGTCTGTTGATGGCTTTAACGGGATTGGGGAATTGAGTATAAATTCTTTTGTTCAGATTTATTTTTTCAGCCCACTTGAACAACTTGCATTTATTCAACAGATGTTTTACCGTAAAAGCGACTTCGTTTTGAGTGCGGGTGTTGGGTCCGAACACGTGGTTGGTTGCGGCACTTTTGTCACCTTTTCCCTATCAGTGCTCTAGGCTTTAGCGCGAGTCTTAACGGCGTGTCTGTTTTATTACGAAAGAGGTTTGGAGTATTCTTATGTGCGTCAGGAGTAGGGATTTGTTTCATTGGTTTGTTGGTGAAAAGCGGGCTACATGTAGAGCGCTTCTTGTTCATCGGTAGAAATTATTGCTCAGTGACCTAGCCGGATCTGGGTGTTCGACCTCCCATCGGGTGTTTGTGAAAATGTCATTTGCAGTGAACTGTTGAAAAGTAAGGTCCTAGAGTTTGCGTTTACTGGATATCTTGGAACTCAGGCTTCATGAATTTTGGATGCCGAGGGATTTTTATGGCTATGTGTAAATTTATTTGTTCTAATTAAATAGAAAGCTTTTTTTTCTAGGTTTTGTGGAATGGGAACTTTTTTAGGTTTTTAATTTTTGTTGCAGAGGTTCTGGTTTTTTAGAGTGGATAAATTGTCCTTTAGAAAAAGAAGTTTCTGAACAGTGATTGAAGTTTAAATTGAATAATTTAGGGCTTTTACGCTTAATTTTTTCAGTTTGGATGCCATTACTGAATAAAAAAGAAAAAAAATTCTGTGTACCGATTGAAGCTTAAATTTGGTTATTACTAGTTTATAAAGTTTCCTGAAATTTACTACCTTGGAAAGAAGAACACTGTTTTAGGATTGAAGAAGAGGATAAAGTACGGCGGCAGAAATTTTCAAAGATAATTGGATTGTTTACCATGGAAAGTAATAGGTAAATTTCAAGACTTGTTTCATTAGCTTAATTAAAATGAACTAAGTGAACATGGTGCTAAAACATTTCGCGTTTCTAAAGAAGCGATACGGAAGTTTTGAAGTTAAAAGACAGAGTTAACAAATAAGTGTAGTGAAGGAATATTTAACTTACAAAAGAACTGTTAGAAATGAATGTTTGAAAAATGCAGTTGCAGCTGTAGGGCATTACAATCTTTTCTTGCAAATTACTGGGTTTTTGTTTTTGACTTTTAAATTTAAAAAAAAAAAAA